AAAGGAATAGAATAATTATTTTTTTAATTTAATATAAATATTTTATCTATACAAATTTTCAATAGAAAATGAAGAAATTTTATTAAATAACAAACTGATTTTAAAAAAAATAAAAATGAATTTTTGGTATATAATTCTCTGAGAAAAAACCCTTGAGTTGAACATAAAAAGAGCTTGATTTCAAGTTCATTTATATTAAAAAATAAGTCGAATTTGGTCAACTTTTTAAATTTGGTTACTACTCAAGCTGACCCCTAGGTGTGTTAAAGCAATTTAACCAAAAAAAAAACATTTCGTACCTTTTCTCCATGTTGCTATTAGCTGTAAAAAATTTTCCTGATGAAAAATAATAATATAGTAGTACTCTTAAGGCTCGTTTGACTGCCGTATTATGAAAAAAAAGATTATATTAGTTAATATGAGTTAATTTTGTGTAAGTGGATAAAACACAAGATTAACAAACAGTAATGTTATTGGGCATATAATAAGGACATAAAAAATAGAGATTTAATGATGAGGCATCTGACATGGATTTGCCACGTCATTAAAATTAGGCCAACTAGTTTAGATTTTTTTTTTATATTGATTTTTCATTCTCCAACTTGTTTAGGACTCCTAATTCAATTCCCCCCCCCCCCCCCCTCTTTCCACTGCCATTACATTCATCATTTCCTCTACCGGCAAGCAACGGAGCTCCGGTTGTCTTCGAATCACTCAAGGAACCCAACCAGATGAATCAGCCACTTCCCACAATACATACTCTACATCTCTCATCTTCCTCTTGGTCTTCATTTCTTAATGGCCAAACAATACTGTGTTAGAGGGTGTTTGTGATTTGGAAGAGACGTTGAATGAATTTAAGCTAGTGGGGGTGGGGTGACGATGTTATTAAAGTAAAGTTAAATTCATTCTTCAATGATAAAATTTAATTGTTTTTTCTGGTATTCAACCTCATCGTCCACATCAGAGTATCAGAGATAAAGAAATGTATTGATCAAATTGGCTAAAATGCATTGACCAAATTGACTGAAAAAGTTGGTATCAAACCAAGGGGGAAGATGAGGAATGTATTATGGGGGAGTGGATGATTTGTCTGGATGGGTTCCTTGAGTGATTCAAAGGCATGTACTCCGTTGGTAGTTGGCAGAGGAAACGATGATTGCAATGACGGTGGAAAGAGGGCAAACCGAAGTAGGAGTCCTAAACAATTTGGAGAATGAAAAGTCAGTAAAAAAAAAAAACTAAAATAGTTGGCATAATTTTAATGACATGGCAAATACACGTCAGGTGCCACATCATTAAGTTCCCATTTTTATGTCCCATTGGATGTACCAATAGCATTAGTGCAAGACTAAATATGTGATAAATTTAATACTTATTGTAATCTAGTGTTTGGTTAGACTGGATAAGGGTCGGATTATAGTCTTAATTACAAATTGACCAAAAAATCATCAATATTATTTAGTTATTAATGTTTTTGTTTATTTGGTGGATAAAATAATAAATTTATAACTTAAATAGCATGAACTAGACTATAATCGGCTCAATAATACAGATAGAGTGTATTATTTGAAAAATAAGTATTTGAAATAAGATTATATATGAAACATAATTTTTTTTGCAACCACATGCAGTATAAGGTTGGATTAGAGAGTTTTTATTTGTTATATAAGAAAAAAATACCTTCCATGACGGCATTAGAAGCCTCCTCATCTCTGAGTCATAACAAAGACCCTTCTTTGGTTTTGGCTGCCGATTGTCCTGGCTCTTTGGTTCCTTTGAGGTTGTTGCTTGGGTAATAAGGGTTTCTTCTAGGTTAGTTGTCCCCTTACTGGATTTTTTGGCTGCTATGGTCCTTAGGTAAACTACCCTGTAGGTGCAACTGGGCAATTGCTCTTGAGATGTTCAAAGTCTCAACAGCCATAGCACACCCTTGTCTCCACATTGGCCCTCACCGAGGCACCCGCAAATCCCTTGATTGGTTACCGTTACTCTGGTCAGGGCGGTGGTAGGGAGCCATTCTCTATACTCCACTACTGCTGCTTGTCTTGATAGGACCTCCTCTTGCAAAAGTTTGTTGTCTTTGGCTCTCCTTTGTGTCCCTCTCCACCAGTGTGGCTCTGTCCACTAAATCACCATAATCCTAAATCGATGGGCCACCAACTTCTCTCTGATCACAAGCCTCAAGCCTTGTTCAAACCGCTTAGTCCTCCTGGTCTCTGTGGATATAAACTTTGTGGCCTAGTGTGACATCTCATCAAACTTGTACTCATACTCAGCCACTGTCATATTTCCTCACCGTAGAGTCAAAAGTCCATACTTATTATGTCCTTCATTGATTCAGGGAAGTACTTATCCTGAAATATTTAGTCAAACTCTACCAAGGTCATTGCACCAGTGTTTTTCATTCGTTTTATTGAATCCCACCAATGATCTATCTCACCTTCTAGCATACAAGTAGCCAGTCTAACTCAGAGATCTTCCGCTATGACCATGCTATCACACATCTTTTCACTTTACGAATCCATCTATTTGCATCCATAGGATTAGCACTCCCTGGAAAAGTGGGCGGGTGCTATCACCAGAATTTTCTCAACACTGCCATCCTGCATTTCTCATTGACATTTCCCTATCCCACCGCTAATGGTTGTACAACCCATTCTGGTTATGGTTTTCATTTTGGTTTTGTACCAGAGTTGTCAATTCCCGTAGATATTGGTAGATACCATTCATAGCATTCGGAGAAGGTGATTGTGGTGGAGGTTTCACACGTCCTCATCCTCGTCCCCGTCTATCTTCCATTTTGCACAACAAGGTACACTTTAGTTTTTTATTAAATCTCTCAATATCTATACACACCCAATTCATAAATATATATACACAAAAGATGTACCTATGGTTTGTCTCTCTCCTACCTACAACTCTAGTGTAACCCAAAATTACAGTTCCCATGTAAGACCTAGTTCCTAGGCTGATATCAAATTGTAACACTCCAAAATTCATCTGGATAGAATTATTCAAACCATGAGAGCAACTAATAACATCCATAAATAAAGATAATATATTCATCATTCATAATAACTAGAGCATAATCCAAACCCAACATGCCAAACCTTGGCAATTACAACCAAAACTGAAAGAACCTTACTCCTAAAGCTAACTAAAAATGTTTAGACAACTATATCAAACCCATTAGTATGACATTAAAACCGTCAGTTACATTCCCAAAATTAAATAACATCTCACAATGGAATAAACAAAATAATAGCCTTCACAACATCTCAAAATAACTTGTGAAATTAAGCAATGAAGGATAAGGCTCTACACATTCACTTCGGGGTCCACTTCGCCATCAATCTGGACTTCCCATATGAGTTCATCCTCTAAACTGAAATCTGTAAAATGTAATAGTAGGGGTGAGAAATAAGCTATGTGGCAACATTTTTCTAAACCCGAACAAGGTTTTAAAATGTATAACAGAAATAGGTCGGTCTCTTTTTACAAAAAAACATTTATAATCTTTGAAGTAAAATAAGGACATTTAAAAGATCTCAAGTTTACGTTTTACACAATATGAAAAATAAGAAGTAAAAACCACCTTCAATTGGTAAATAATCACCAACAACATATAAATATCTCATGAATACAGGCTTGGCTACAGTGAATCTACACAACGAGAATATCCTAGCTCACAAAATTCCATCTTCCCAATAATACACCCCGCATGGCAAAACACTTCAGGAAGGGCTTATATCGACACATCTACAAGAACAAATCATTTGTAGGATTATGGTATACCAACTTTTAGCCTCGATTGTCATAAGCGAATAATGTTTGGCATCCCGCGAGGTACCAACCCAGTACAAGTAATAGGAAACCATAGTACCCCTCAAAGTCTCATACAACATCTAAACACTCTACGACATTAGTTGAAGGTAACCCACATGCATCAACAACCCATACAAGAGATAATATTTCAACTAATTCATCCAATCAGATGTAATTTAGAAACCATAACTTCACAAGTGTTTTCAACTAGAACAATTCTAGGAAAACATACGAGAGATCATCAAAACATATTTTTATTGTTCGGAATCAATACTAGAATTTTAGAAATCAAGAACCTACAAATGTCATGTGGAAAGCCTATATTTCTTGAAATATAAGATTTTGATTGTAATAACAAAGGTTTCATGGCTATAAAACGTAGATTTCATACAACAACATTATAGGATTTGCAAAAAAAACCAAGAATTCATGATTACATATAATATATATGGGTTAGAGTTTGAAACATACATATATAATAACCCTAGCCTCAATGACCGAGTTCAGAGAGAAACCCTTACCTTTAATCCCTTGTGTGATACAAAACCCTAGCCTTTTTGAGCCGTTCACCACGTGAGAATCCTCTCAATTCTTGTTTTCTCTCATTTTTTAGGGTTTTCTAGAGTCAAGAGCTGCCGAAATTGACCTAGGGGCGTCCTTAAGATATTTATAGGGTCAGGATCTGAACAGTTCTCGCGAGTCTGATCGTTGTTAAAATTATACTGGCGTTTGAATGTGATATTGGGCATTTGATTGTGACTTCAAATGTGATATTGACATTCGGACGTTTTGGACGTGTCGACACGACATTTTGATTCTTGATTGTGGGAAAGAGGGTGTTTTTGGATTCTTTTTGGGCTTCAGATACACTGGAGTTTGTGGGTCTTCTGGTATCTTTTATTTGGGCGAATGGGCTCTCGGTCTGTAGCGATTGATGGGCTTTTTATTTTTGCTTTTCCCAGTCTGTGGCTTTCGTGCTTCTTGTACTGATTTCTAATTTTCTTTTTGATGGAATTCTGTTGCTGATTTAAAAAAGATTAAATAAAATAATAGTATCAGTAGTATAGTAGCAGCAGCAACACCACCACCAACAGTAATTAGTATAATAATGGTAATGGAAGAATAAGAAGTCAAAGTATTTTGGGCTGCCAAAAAACAAAATTTCTTCTTCCATGAAGAAAGTAACATGCCAAGCAGATACTAGGCAAAGATGGAATGGTAATGGTGGTGGTGGTGGTCTGGTCTGGTCTATTCCCTTTGAGTTGCAGCAAAGAACTGCTAATTTGTTTCTGAATGCTTATTTTTTTCATTTTTCAAGAAGGGCTTCTTTTGTTTTCTGTTACATTTGTGCTGTTATTTTCATTTATTTTTAAATAAATTTCTTGCATAAACAGGGTTTATGGTTTTTCCCTTACATGCTGATAGTGCATCCACGTGTGTTCTAAAGTGAAACTCTAGTTTTCTCTTTTCATCCTAAATATATAAAGGCTCGTCTTCCCATGCTTTTCCTCTGATCTTAGACCTTCTAACATATTTCAGAATTGGTGACGGAAGGCGCTCTTTAGTCCTGGTTGTTTTCATTGGAGGGGTAACATTTGCAGAGATATCTGCACTTCGTTTTCTCAGTGCCCAGGTATGTTTATAAATTTTATGCCTTGGATAATATTAAGTATTGTTTTATGTTTCTCTTTTACATTGTTTACTCAGCAACGTGTCATACCATGTGTGATATAAAACACGGGAGATTTGCTTGGGAATTTTGTGCAAGTGGACAAGACTGGTTTTGCATTCTTTCTCAAGTGAAACAGATTTTTGGGCTTCTAGATGCCTGATTCTAAGAAACACTGAACGAATTTGTCTGTTTCTCTTGAAGTAAAAGTCGAACCGTGCCAAACTTACTGTCAGCTGGCTGATTTTGACTAATAAACAAGTTCATCAATGATGTTAAATGAACTATTTGGGTATTTTTCTTTGGTGACAATTTCTCTGCAAACTTCTGCTTGCAGTCATCCCTTTTTTCAAAGTCGAAAAGATGAATGGGTCTGCATACTTGATTAATTCATATTCGTGGTTCCTTTGTTTATTTTATTTCTTAATATGCTGGAATTTTAGGCTCATGATATTTAAGTTATGTTTCGGTTAATGGGATTGGCTCTCATTACGAGTAGAGATCATTAGCATTAACATTTTGTGGTTCACGTTGGAGTTATTTTGGTGTGCAAGTTTTGTAGACTTCAAACTTTTTTCTTTGCTAATTTTTGAGTTCCAATCATTTAACTCAAAAATAAAGGTTTTATTACTAGAGCTAAAAGTGCCGATATGCATTGATATGAATCATCACAAGAAAAATGGAGTTGGAGAGGATTTTGTGATCATTAAAAATTTAGGGCAAAAAATGTAATTGATTTGTGTTTCCAAATGCTTCCAGTATTTTTTAAACTCGTGTCTTTGGAACCAAACGGTATTGTTCAAATGTGAAGCGCAAGGGAATGATTATGTTTTTAGTGTACACCAAAATGCCAACTTACCAAATCCTTCTGGTAAGCTTCTCACGGATTCTCTGAATTAACAGAAAAGGTGTTGTTATTGATGTTGCTGATACCTGGCCAACTACAGGAACCTGTACCCATGGGCAGAGCCAGAAAACTGCTATAGAGGAGTGCAAATTTTAATAATAGGAAAAATACGAAACTGTAAAAATAATGAATGCAAAATTTAAAATGTTGATTAGTAATATTTCTATTCAATTCATCCACAATTGTTCTGGATTAGTTTTCATATTTTGAAAACATTGCATGATAACCTCATTGTTAACCCCATAAAACAAGTTTTTTCTTCATAGAGTGCCTCTAATCAATCGTTGTTATTGGATTGACAGTGAATCAAAACCTTGGGTGAGACCCATTGTTAGTTCAAGGGCAACAACAGATTAGGTCAGCTAATTAGATAAGCAAATTACTTCTAAATAGTATTATCGTTCTTAATGTATCCCAATTAACAACTGAGAGAGAGGGGGAGCGAGATATTAGGAGCAGGAAAACAAATAGCTGTCGAAATTTTTCTTGAGAATATATTGAGAGGATTCAAATAACTAAATATTAGCTAAGTTTACTTAATTGGATGTTCCGAGATTGAACTCAAATATGAAGAATGATTATGTGGATCAGTGTGTATGAAAACTTTTTTGAAAGGAACAAGATTGACAAATACATTAAAACATGTACAGGAATTTTTACAAAAAAAAAAATTTGAGTGGTGGCAGAGTTGCTTGTAGCTCTGCCCCTGCCTTTACCCATGGTTGGGGGGTCTCAGATGATCAAGCAGCTACATTGAAGATGCCTTATTTTGTTAGTCTGGATAACTTTTTCCCCGCTTTTTTCAGTGCTCCTCAATACCTAATCTTGTTAGTATGTCTTTATCAATCTACTATGTCTTTGCAGGAAGGGATGGCATATGACTTGATTGTAGGGACAACAAAAATTGTCAACGGCGATACCTTCACCGAATCATTCATAGAGAAATTGGGTTGACTTAAAGAGAATTGTGCGTTCCATATTTCCTGTAGAAGATTAAGAGCTTTTGATGCTTGTACGACATTAAAGGAACCTTGCTGCTGCAATTACTACACACGAGTGGTTTAGAACTGCTGTTTCGGGTTGAAAACAATGTGTATTTACTGTTTTATTGCCAAGGAGTAAGTTGAAAGTTTTGTGGTTCCACTGTATTCATTTTTTTTTCCTAGTAAGTTTTTGTTTTGTTGTTTGAGGTTTATTTTCTGATGACAGGAATTGTATTTATGTTGAATCTTTCTATTCTGTGTCTCTAGTGCTTACAAAATTAGCTTATCGTTCTATTCTCAGTCTCAAGTGATTGGAAAGTTAGCTTCTCAGCTATCGTTGTATGACTGACCCCAGGCCGATTGTTCTGCTTAAATATTCAATACACAAAATCCCCAACAGCTGGATTAACGTCTACAGGTAAAGTGAATTAGAGAGAGAGAGAGAGAGAGAGAGAGTCCTTTATTTTGAAAGTGACAAGATAATTCTTGTAACCCTCTTTCTTTATTATGCTGTGTCATTTGAACACAACATTAAACACCTCTAGGGGGCCATCTTCATGGGGTATCTTGGTAGTTGCCTGATTCGTGTGAAATGGATGGTTGCATGTGCTCTGAAGGGACCCGGCTACGTTATAGTTAGCACTCAGCAAAAAGGGAGGTTGAGAAAAGAAAGGGTGTGTTTGGATTGTATTTCCAAAAATAGGATTCAAAAATGTTTTGGAAAGAATTTTAAGAAAGTGTGTTTGATGTTTTTATATTGTAAAATTTATTTGGTTATATGTTTCTGAAAACAGTTTTAAAGAACATAAAATAATAAAATCTAGTTAGATAATGATCTACAAAATAATGAAAATATAATAGAGATATAAATCCATTCCACACCAATCTTTTTTGCCTACTAATTTTAGGTGGGGTAATTATAATAGAATGAATAGACACAAGTGCATTCTTTCCTAGTTTAGGTTGAGAATCACCAACAATATCACTTCCTTTGCCAAAATTAAAACTTGAACCCACTTCACACATATGTATACACATCTGTGCACATATATGTATATTGAGTTGCTTGTCCCTTCGGTGAGAGAGCTTTGGAGATCTTCGGCGAGGTAGCTCTGTTGGATTCGAAGAGGAAAACTTCACAGTGAAGCTCAAGTAGAGAGGGAGAGTTGCAACTTGCGGGAGAATAGAGATGAGTTGGAGAGAGGGGGGATGAGTTGCGAGAAATAAGGAGCCTTTTGAATTGAAGTCTCAAAAAATGCTGAAAATGTTTTCGATGAAGTTCAATATCTAGACCTCATTAAAGAGTTATGTTTTTCGTATTTTCAAAATTTTTGAAAATCTTGTTTGAAAAGTGGAAAGAGAGGTATATCATGTTCTCAAAATTTAGCCTGATTTTCAAAAAGCTTTTCAAAAAATAGCAAATCAAAATTTTTTTTGGTGTTTTGTATTTAAAAACAAATACTTGTTTTCAAGATACAAATCAAACAGACCCAAAATTTTCGAAGATAGAAAATGAACAACTTAGTTCCAAGTTGTAGTGTCAACTTCTGATCGTGTCCATGTTTGTACCCAAATTTGTGGTATTAGAAAAAACTATTTAACCCATTACTAGCTCAAAAAAATCAAATTCCAAATGTTCATTTCTTTTTCTTATATTATGAAATGAATAGATCTTTCACATATACCATTAATCTGGTTCATTTATAATTTGTGTTGACAAATTGCATCATTTTTTAGTACAAGCCGTGTTATTGTTAAGTTCGCGTTGTTTTAAATTTGTGTCGAACACATATCAGGTCATCGAATTTTACTCTCTGCGATTGTATTTGGTGCAACAGTGTGCTGCAACATCCACATTACAGTCCCAAGACATAAAGGCTACCTAAAATCAGTTGCCCACTTCAAAAGTCAAGCAAAATTCTAATGTTTAAATTGGGGAATAAATATAACTTCTTCCCATTACCAACAATCCATGACCCCTAAAAATCCCATTTCACCCAAAAAAAAAGAAAAATGTTACAAAAAAAGACACCGCTCCCATCCATATTTTTGTACACAAATACCTTGATTTAATACACCAACATATCTGTCTATATAATACCTATGTTTCAAGAGGATAACAAAACTCCTGCACAATATTCTGAGGTCTACTATGACGACTTACAAGAGCTTCAGGAAGAAATCTAAGTTTCACCTGAATATCATGAAACACAGACTGCTTCAACTTGTTGGAGAAGTTCTAAAACGCTTGCTGCTTTTCTCTTGGCCCGATCAGTGCCATTCTCCGACAGTTCCTTCAATACCTCTTCTGCCCCAAGCTCCTTAGCTATTCTTAAACATTGTACATCACCTGTACACAGTGACCACAATAGAGCGGCAGCATTCTCCCGGTTGCGTGGTGAACCGGTTCTTATAACCTCTACCAGTACTGGCATTGGCTCAGCCTGACCAATCGCTGCTTTACCTTCTTGATGGCTTGCAAGTATAGCCAGTATTGCTAATGCCTCATCCATCATTCCACCACCAGCATCCTTCAGCAATCCCATCAGTGGTGCCACGATCCCCGCCTTTAATGCTCTCACCTTGTTTCCCTGATATATTGAGAGATTAAAAATTGCAGTAGCTGCATCCTTCTTTCCCCTTGGAGTGCCCTGGCAGAGCAAATTGATAAGAGCTGGGATAGCCCCTGCTGCTCCGATTGCCACCTTGTTTTCATCAAACACTGATAAACTAAAAAGGGTTGCAGCAGCATTCTCTCTTGCTTCCATGCTGCCATTTTTCAACACATCTACGATATCAGGTATAGCTCCTGCATTTACAATACTTCCCTTGTTTGCCTCGTGTATGGAAAGGTTGAGAAGCGCCGTAACAGCGTGCTCCTGGGTCCGAGAATCAGTAGATGATAGTAGTTCTACAAGCAGAGGAATGGCTCCTGCCTCTGCAATACAGACTCTATTATCCGCATTTCTCTTTGCCAGTAAACGGAGCTCACCGGCAGCTGCTCTTTGCTGTTCTGAATTACCATTTGCAAGTTTTTGTAACAAGGCATCAATAGCAGCTCGATCACAGTCTGAACCACCAGCTCCTGATCTGCTATTACTACAATTGTTTTGTTTCTTTGGCAGCTCAACACCATTACTCTCACACCACAAAGCAATAAGACTCTTCAAGACGTAGTTAGGTGTTAAGGCTGTATGCAAAAGAGTCTGCTGAGTCTTGGGACAAGTCTTGTGCCCTGCGTCCAGCCATTTCTGAATGCAGGACCTTTCATATGTCTGCAAAAGTAAAATAGCAGCTAAATATTGGCTAACAGTGCATATGCAAAGCTGTAAACTGCTAAGGTAAATGCCAGTTCAAACCTGTCCAGTAGAAACAATAACAGGATCTTTCATCAATTCAAGGGATATTGGACACCGAAAATCATCAGGGATAACCGGAGACCTGTGCTTAATCAAGGCCTTTTCATCCTCGGAGGCATCAAAGTTGGGGTTTCCCATCACTACACAGTCCTTTAGCTTCCTAAGGATTAATGACATGGTCTCAAAGCAGTGATCTTGAACTCCATCACTAGATATAACCATATCGTGGATAGCAATTGACTCCCTCTTTAAATCGTTTATAGTCCTGAGATGCAACTTTTTCGAAAGCCTTTTCAGAATGGAAAGGTCAGGGTCTTTTTCCTTTTGTGCCATAGCTAAATCCATTTCCAGTTGCAAATCAGGTGAGTGCATCCTGCCCATTGCTCTTTTAAATTGTACATGCACAAGTTCAATCTGAAGGAAGTATAAGCAGGTCATAACTTTGGTCAATAAAAAAGAAAGTACAGACTTCCATAAAATTTTTAGTCTGAAGTATGTTTCTGAAAAAAAAAAAAAGCTCCTAAAGTACCTGTTCTCGCACTTCCTCTGAGATATTGAGTTTATCACAAGGAATCTGGGTCAGAGCTTCTTCAATATGTTCTGTCAGTTGACGGAACTTTACTGCAATTTTGTCCATTTGCAGAGCCTGTGACATGGAAAACGAAGCTACCATAAAGACAGAAACCAAACCATACAAGTTGGTTGTTTTCAAAACAAAAATATTGATACATGATGAGTGTAAAAAGTCACGTTCTTACCAGCTTATGGATAGTTAGAGGTTAGACAGATATATAAATTAAAGCAATGAAATTAGAACTCTTTCAGCGATGCCTAAAACTAAGCATTTATTTTATTGAGCTGAACATCGAAAAAGTTTCATTTAACAGATCCAAGTATTTCTCAAGAATTAAACAAGAAATGACTCATGAGTGCTACTGCTCAGTGATACAGAATTGAGTAGATTATGTGCGAAATAAGAAATGCGAAGGAACACACACACACATACAGATTCCTTGATCCTTAAACCTCAAAAATTTTAGACATCTACCCCAGAGCCCAAACAGGGGAACAATGTTGACAATTCAAGCCCCTAAGTTCAACAAAGAAGATTTAGTTACAAACAAGGATCAAAATTTTCGCATGAATCAAAATTTTAATTTTCTTTTCTCCACTTTCTCATCAAAAAAAAGAAAAGAAAAAGAACACATATCAAAGGCCAAACACAATTATAGTCAAAAGTCATAGCAGTTAGCTAAAAAATACGAAAATAAAACAAAACACCCAATACCTGAAAATTTTTGCTGCCTTCGTTGACCGATCGAAGAAGCTCTATGGCCCTAATGAAAGCAATCTTCAAAGCTTCAAGCCCTAAAACGACGTCGTCACTGAGCTCTTCATCTCTGTCTTCCAATTCCTCAAACAGAGGCCTCAGTAGCTTCACTCTCCGAACCAAATCACTGTACAGTTCCTTCGAGACATTTCGGCACTCGGGTAACCCAGAAATGTCTTTTATCAGCTCACCGAGTTGACTCACCACCTCCTTCTTTGCATCGTCCGTTGGACCCATATGGGTCTCCCAAGAAAAATTGCAGAATTGAAGGTTTTGAGGGAATCGAAACAGACCCAAATCAGATAATTGGGTTAATTTTGATGGTTTGGTCCAGAATTCGTCGACTCACCAAGACGTAATTGGGTAAGACAAATCACCCAAGGAGAGCCTAAGGGGGTTTAGTGGGAAATGAGACAGACCCAGGTACGGGGATTGGTTGAATTTCGAGAATTATTGGCCGAGAATTGAATTGAATGTACAGAGGATTCAAAGTCTTATGTGGCGAGAGAGAGAGAGAGAGAGAGTTGTTTTTTTGGGCATTAAATAAGGTGGACTAATTATGGGCTAGTATTATACTTCAAGAATTGATTAGTCTTACCGCGTCTTACCAGAATGCAAGGACAGACTAAAAAGTAGTAAATTCTAAAAACTTGTGTAAAAATGAGAAGGCCTACTCGTAAATTTTAATATTGGATAAAATTTATTTTAAATTCAATATTTGTATTGAATAAGATTTTCATATTAAGTTCTTAAATTAAATCAAAGTAATATTTTTTTGATTTTCTTGGTGTACGCATTTTTGTTTTATATCCCAGCTCTTTCATTGAATTTATTAAATCAATGTTAAACTGTGTGTAAAATTAACTCTCCACACAAAAGGATAAATTTGAGGACAACGGCCCCAAACAACGTACACACACCCAGTACATACTCAAACAATTGACCTCAGCCTCGTTACCGTGCTTGTCAAGTGGCCAAATTACCACCAAGTCAATCCCTTAGAATTCAATATACATCGATGATACATAAAAATAGTTTACACACTATTTGTTAATTAAATAATATAAAATACAGTAAAGTAGAGGGAGAGAGAAAACAAGATTTATAGTGGTTTGGTCAATATGACTTACGTCCACTTTGAATGATAAGGATCACCAATATTTTATTAACTCCAATGTTTAGGGAGAGCAAAGAGTTATAAACTTTAAGAGAGAGAGGAGAGAATTATGCTCAAATGAGTGAGATGCCCCCTCTAAGTAATAATTGAATAGTTAGTCTGACAGTCATAATGGGTTGGGACCGTTTAATAGTCATAACGGATTAGGATGACTTTAATAGTAATTAAATAGTTTCGCTCCTTGATCTTGATGAGCTTGTACAGGTTGATCATATTAAGCTGAACTTGCTGGATCTCTTGGAGATAAACAATAAACTCAAATCGGACTTATAATTTGAGTTAAGCCCCTTGAGCTTGGCCCATCATACATGATTTTTAAGATGAGTCTTAATTAGTTAGATACAAATTATTTTATGTGTGATTATTATTGGTGATTATAACCATTCAAGATTTACACTTAAAGCTCTTGTGTAGATGAAAATATTGGAACGACAGTCTCAATATTCATTGATGATGCGTATAATTGATTATAAAAATTTATTCGTCTATTAACCCTATAGGATGGAATTAAGGTTTACCTTTGACGAGCAGATCCACACGAATGAAGAACAAATATAGATCAAATAGCAAGCTCGATAGACCTCATAATCTTTTACTGTATATCCTTCTACACCAAGACCTGAATGCAGTGTGGACTACAATCCTACAAATTTTCTCTCTTGCTCTCTCTCTACCTCTTCTAAATGTGAATGTAAAAGTGTAGAAGTTATGGTTGATAGAACTAGAGATTGAGTTTATTTATAGGTTATAGTAGAGACCCTAATGAGAAATAAAGGTCGGGCTTCCAATTGGCCTAGGAATCTTATGTACAATTCAGAACAAACATTCTACGGTCAATTAATAATAACTTAGTCTACTAAAAATTTATTATTAATCTCTCGAGTCTTATCTCAAAATTAATTTTCGAGCTTCTCATTATTATATATTTAATAATCTTTCTATGTCTAAGATTATAGATATTCATCAATTAATTAAATATAATTAATTATTTTTTTTTATGCTTGAGATCTTATCACTCAACTTATTTGTCATGTCGTATAATTAAATCCACCTGCAGGGTTTAATATATACAAAACTTATAATCTTTCTCAAGAGGACATTATCAACCTATTTAAATAGTGGGAAGTAATTTCCTTTAATAATTAATTTCAACCATACAAATAATATCATCTCCAAATTCACTGAATTTGTTGATTCAAAATATAAATCTCACTTTGATGAATTAAAACAACAATCTATATAATAAAGTAGCTAGATTGTTCGTCTTGAGTTTTTCGCTGCTCAGATCGTTAGAGGATTATTGATCTGACGATCCTAATTGGACTTTTATTTCTTTTATAACTCTAAATCTCTCATATCTCACATATATATATACATATATCTTAGATGTTTCAAATACAGTCTCCCAAATACACACTCTCTCATCTCTCATATAACTCTATCTATCTCTTACAAACATTCTCTCTATCTCATTCATTTACTTTTGTGAGTGAATGTTATGTGTTAAATGTGTATTGTTATTTTTAGTGTTTTTTCATTCAAAGTTTGTAGCTTTGACATTATTTTATTATTGTTAAATGTTATGTGTGAAATATGTTATTTATATTTTCGGTACTTCTTAGTCATACATTTATATGATTTTATAGAAGAAAAAATATTTAAATATTAAAAAAAAATTCGTAGACATTCAAAACCAAACTAATCACAAAAACCAAAAAATTCAAAATCAATCTAATCACCAATAAAAAAATAATAAAGTGATACCAATTGCACAAAAAAAAATTCAAAACCAAACTAGTTACCAATAAAAAAAAAACAATGACCAATAAAAAAAATAAATGAAACCAATTGCACCAAAAAACAATATTCAAAACCAACTATAAATTTTTTTTTATAAGTCGCAGACATTCAAACTCAAACTAATCACCGATAAAAAAAATAATAAAGCCAAATATTTGAGTAATTTTATAGAATAAAAATATATTTGAATGCTAAAAAAATAAATTAAAAGTTGTAGACATGCAAAGTCAAGTTGCACCAAAAAAAAAAATCAAATTCAAGTTAATCACCAATAAAAAAATAACAAGTGATACCAATTGCATCAAAAAAAACCAAAAAAAAAAAATTAAAGCCCAAGCTAATAGTATTTGCATATGTGATATTGTTTTGAAGAATTTTTTTTATATATTTTTTGGATAGTTCTATTAATATGAAGGATATGATCGACAATATATTTCGGGTCATTTTAAAAGAATTGGTATGAATGTTTTTGACCCACTTTCTTTTTTAAGATGGACAATTACTTACGATTTTTTTATGGGTTATATAGTGCCTTCAAATATGAATAATGACTAGTCATTATATGTAAGTGTTAATTAAATATATCAGGATTAAGAGTTTAACAATCATAATAACTGTAAAGTATTTATTTAGTTACTGAAAAGAAATAACCTAAATAATAATTATGTTCAATACACAAAGTGTACTAGTACAACAATCTGAGATATTAGACAATTTTATATAGTCAAAATAAACTATGTTAGAAGATTACACTATAATTTTATTGATGATGTGTCTAATTTTATCTAAAACTGTGAACCTTTACTTATATCGTACAATGATATGATAATTCGATCTTCTGTGTATAAATCAAACTCTAAATACTAGATTATATATAATGTAAAATAAAAGACATACATGCATATCATATATTTAATATAATATAAATATTTTATTCATACAGATTCTCTCATTAGAAAATAAAATTTTTTTATTAGATAATAAATTGATTTTCATTACAATATTTTTTTTTAGTATATAACTCTCACAAAAAAAACCCTTGAGTTGAACATAAAAAGAGCTTGACTCTAAATTTGCACTCCCCCCCCCCCCCCCCCCCCCCGCGTTTCTTTCACAGCAACAAGAAAAAAAATGTATACAAAGCTCTTCTTTCATGGTTGAAAATAAGATATGTTGCCGTTCTTTTTTGTTGGTTTGTTTTTGTTTTGTATCAGTTTATTTAAGAAAAACACTATAATTTTGAACTTCCTTCCAAATATAAGAAACAACAAAAAAGTCCAAAACGTGGGTTTTTTCGACATTAAAACATAACATATCAACTATCACGTGCAAAAAACTTCTTGTCCTAAGTAGGCAAAGGAATAGAATAATTATTTTTTAATTTAATATAAATATTTTATCTATACAAATTTTCAATAGAAAATGAAGAAATTTTATTAAATAACAAACTGATTTTAAAAAAATAAAAATGAATTTTTGGTATATAATTCTCTGAGAAAAAACCCTTGAGTTGAACATAAAAAGAGCTTGATTTTAATGCTCCGTTTGGTAGAGAGGATGGAAAGTAGGAGGGATACATTTTTTTATCCTTCAAGGATGAAAAGTAGGAATGATACACTTTCCTTCCTTTGTGTTTGATTAAATAAATGAAAAATAAAAATGACTATTTTTTTTTTGTGCTAGCTAAGATTAGAGGTGACAATTGAGTAGAGTCGTGTCGTGTCAAATTTGTGTGAGTCATTACGGATTTGTGTCGAATATTAGTCAAATTTAACTTAACTCATTTAACTAATTGTGTCGTGTCGAGTTGCGAGTTGACCTGTTTATTTTCGTATCGAGTTCGAGTCGTGTCATCGTCTTGAGTCAAAAAATTTCACCCTTAGTTAAGATGAAAAAATTTTTTTTTAATTAAAATTTTTTTTTTTTTAATTTTTTTTAAATTTTTTTAAAAATCTATTTAATAAAACAAGAGTATGTTTGAATTTTGTCTCAATCATATTTTCTCCCTCAAAACCATCATCAATCACTTACCTCACTCATCATTCTTTTGTCCTACTCAAACGTCAAATCACATTACTTATTTATATCATATGTTTAATCATTTATATATTTTTTTCTATAAACATCACATCACTCATTTTTATCATATATTTAATTATTTAATATTTGATTAATTTGTAGTTAATATATTTTTAAAAAAATTAATATAATAAGATCTATTTTTTGGACACTCGAATTTTATATTTTATTGTGCCTTCAG